CCCCCCCCCCCCCCACAGTCTCTCCTCCTGCCTCCCTCCTCCTCTCAGCCTTTTCCTCCATCAGAAGGAGTTTATCTTCCGTTTTTACCTGTTCTAAGGTAAAAAAAAAAACAGCTTTTTTACACACAGACTCACAAAGTCTGACCAGAGTCTGACCTTCAGGAGGAGGACGCCCCCCATCCTCCTCCCAGACTCCAGACAGACTGAACTCTACAGGAGACGTCTACCAGAAGAATAAAACAGACTCAAATCTGCAAAACAGTCCAGAAAAAGACCAGAAAAGGATCGGAAACGGACACAAAATGACCAAAATGTGGAGCAAAAGACAAGAAAAAGACACAAAATGACCAGAATCCAGAGCAAAAGACCCAAAAATGATCAGAAACAGACACAAAATGACACAAAATGACACAAAATGACCAAAATGTGGAGCAAAAGACCAGAAAAAGATACAAAAATGACTCAAAATGACCAAAATGTGGAGCAAAAGACCAGAAAAAGATATAAAAATGACTCAAAATGACCGAAATGTGGAACAAAAGACCAGAAAAGATTAATAAACGGACACAAAATGTGGAGCAAAATTAATCAGCTCAATATTTAGCAAAAGATCAGAAATCAGGATAATATGAAGAAAAAAAAAAAGACCAGAAATTATCAGAAACAGACATGAAATTATTAAAATGTGTGCCTATTTCTGATAATTTTCTGGCCCTTTTCTGCTCCTTTTTTAAATTTAGCCGATTCTTTTAACATTTTTCAATCAGTTTTAGCCTTTTTCTGGTCTTTTGCTGCATATTTTGGTCCTTTTGTGTCTGTTTCTGATCCTTTTCTGGTCTTTTTTGACAATTTTTTGTCTTCATTAAACATTTTTAATCAGATTGTCCCCTTTTCTGCTCTCTTGCCCAATGTTATGAAGATTTTGTGTTTAATTGTTGGAGTTATTGGTCCATTTCTGATCATTTTCTGCACCTTTTTTTAAAATAGTAAATCATTATAATATTGAGCAAAACAACAGAAAACAGGATATTCTGATTAAAAACGTCGTATTAGACAGCCTCTCTGAGCATGGCGGAAACGCGCATGCGCTGAAGCGACTCCAGTCCGCTGGGGGCGTGGCTTAACAGAGCACTGGGGGCGTGGCCTCCAGCCACCTGCGGGCAGGTAGTTTCGGGTTTCCGTCCTTCGTCTCTCCGCTGTTTTTCAGAGGATTTACTCCAGAGGTTCAGAACCGGAACCAGAACCAACAGAACCAGCAGAACCTCCAGAACCGGAACCGGAACCAGAACCTCGGGGTTTGGGTTCCTCTCCAGCCGGTTCCCTCCTCGCGTGTCCCGGACCGAGCAGGTCCACCTGCCGGCAGGTGGGTTCCTGTTGTTGTGTGTCTGTGTGTGTGTGTGGGGGGGGGAGTTTGGACCCGGTTCTGGACCAGTTTGGACCCGGTT